GTTCGACAAGACTCGGGCTCGACAAGACTCTGGCTCGGCAAGACTCGGGCTCGACAAGACTCGGACTCGACAAGACTCGGGCTTGGCAAGACTTGGGTTCGACAGGTTCGACAAAACTCGGGCTCAACAAAACTCGGGCTCGGCAAGACTCGGGTTCGACAGGTTCGACAAGACTCGGGCTCGACAAGACTCTGGCTCGACAAGACTCGGGCTCGGCAAGACTCGGGTTCGACAGGTTCGACAAAACTCGGGCTCAACAAGACTCGGGTTCGGCAAGACTCGGGTTCGACAGGTTCGACAAGACTCGGGCTCAACAAGACTCGGGCTCGACAAGACTCGGGCTAGACAAAACTCGGGCTCGACAGGTTCGACAAAACTCGGGCTCAACAAGACTTGGGCTCAGCAAGACTCGGGTTCGACATGTTCGACAAGACTCGGGCTCGACAAGACTCGGGCTTGACAAGACTCGGGCTCGACAGGTTCGACAAAACTCGGGCTCGACAAATACGCATTGATATTGAATTATTGTGCAGTACTATTTTTGATAAATGCAGCATTTTCTTAACAACTGAAGGTAACACAGTTACTTAGTTGTGGTATAGAATTGAACCATGTGACTGGAAAATGCATATCCTTCACCCCCTTTAAAGTTATAAGAAATTCCAAAACTGTAGCATTTTCTGTAAGATTAAAATCAACACTTGTAAACACGTGAGCCCTGAGGTTCACGTGTGGTTTCTATATTTGTGTTGCCGAATTCTAAAAGGCTAAACCTCTAACCAGACTTTGAGTCAGAAGCTTTAATCCAGGAAGGCCTCAGATTAAATGTTGCTCTCCTCTTCAGGAGCCTCTGAACAGTGGGGACGACGTGAGCGATGACGACGGAGGGGAGCTGTTCGACACAGAGAATGTAGTGGTGTGCCAGTACGATAAGGTGGGGGAACTGTTGGATGGTTCCTGTGTGTTCAGAGGACATCTGAGTCTGAAACATCTTTTCTCATTTCCTCCTCCCTGCTCCCCAGATTCACAGAAGTAAGAACAAATGGAAATTCCACCTGAAGGACGGGATTATGAACCTTAACGGCAGAGATTATGTGTTTTCCAAAGCCATCGGTGACGCAGAGTGGTGAGGCAGGGATGGGGAAAGCAGCCGGAGCAGGATCTCTGTAACTCCTGTCTGRTTAACAGAGCCTGCAGCATCCTTCTGAACTCTGTGACCGGATCCCTTCAAGAAGCTGCTTCAGAGTCTTTGAGAACTCACCCCCACCCCCACCCTAAAAGGATCGTAAGGTACCGTAAAACCTAAGCGTCATCCATCGAAAACACTCGACTGGCCTTGCAGGATGAGAACGCTMCAGAGGAAGGGAAGGGAGAGGCTGTTTCTCTCTTTATCTCCACCTTCCGGGCTTTTCTGCCTTTTATTATTWTTTTTTTCTTTTAGTTCAAGAAAAACTTTTCGCATCAAACAGGTGTAGCGGACCAGGGTGAAGTGACCGCCCTGCCACAGGAGGTCAGAGGTCGTTCATTTTAAACACCCCCCCCCCCCCCACACACACACACACACACACACACACACACAATCAGAACCACCTTTTTATGATGCACTGTAGTCAGTTGACTGGAATGAATCGTGTCCACCTTTCTGTCCAAACTTAGTGCCACCAGTCCAAACTGCTGCCTTTTTAGAGACCAGAATCTTTTTTTTTGCTTCTGCGTTTGTTTTTGCTCCTCGAGTTCTCGTCCTATCTTCACGTTTTGACAAATGGTGCTCCAGAGTGTTTTATGTAGGTAATCTATTATTGTTGTAGATAGTTTTTAAAATATGGTCGATGAAGGGTTAAAGGAAGAAAAAAGGTAAATTGATGCAAATCTTAAAATAATTTTATTAATAATAATAATAATAAAAATAATAAAAGTTATTTTTAATCTTAATCAACAATACTGTTCTGTTCCCTCTTTGCTTCTCTGGAGCTCCATTCCACCTTTTTATTAAAAAGAAGGAAAAAAAGTTAGTATTTCAACCAATTAAATGTTTGCCTTGTTGCTTTTTTTTTTAGTTTTCTGTAGCCCTCTGAAGATTTGATCTGTCACTTCATCGATGTTAGGTCAGTCTTGGTGATCAAAAGCTGCAGGGTGTTTTTATTTTTTATTTTTTGTGTGTGTGTTTATGTGTGTGAGATACAGCAACTGATGAGGTATGTGCATGTATGTGTTCCCTGGACTAACGTTAATTTCACTCGCACAACCTGCAATCTCATAACGCCACAGTTAAAGCAGTGGCATTTCTTCTATTTATTGCTCAAAATTTTGATATGTTTGTTTTATTTTGAAAGGTTGCAGCACCAAACTGTGCTCTTATTATGTAATAAGTGTTCCTTTTTGTTTTTCTTTTTTTTTCTGGGCTAAAGCTCCCCAGCGCTGTGCTCCACATCATTTTGTCCACCGTCCGTACTCCTGCGCTTTCAGCATATCCATGACTTTTAGAAGGAGAATATTTTTTATCAAAGTGAGTTTAATTCCAGGGGAGCTGTGTGTATTTCTGCTGTTTGTTTTTAGTGCCCCTGTTGCAGCAGTTTGAAATAAAAGTACGTGTTTTTGATGTCGTTTCAGTGATTTTGATTTTTTTTTAATAGAAACCACCTCAGCTCAGAAAAAAACCCAAATCCAGAACCTCATTTAGTCATGAAGTTTCCGTATTTGTTGATTGTTAGAGAAATAATCCTAATCCAGCAGGTCTTTGTGGTTTTCAGTTAGTAATATCAAATCAGACCGTATTCACTTTGTTGTGCCTTTTCTGACTTCTTATTTTTGTTTGCATACAAATCAACATGTACTCTTTACTTTTTAAATTGTTGTTAAAAGAATGAATACAAATTTGTATTTTGATATTCTTAAATCAATTTAAACTCATACATTAAACTGTTTTTTTGCCAAAACAAGACAAAAAATACTTTTGCATTTTTTTTTTTTTTGGTTTAGTTGAAAATGTGTACATTTGTTCTCAACATTAACTTTTAACTGTTTGACTTTTTTTCAAATTTATATTATTGTGTTTAAATTTTACTTGCATTTAAGCTACAGCAGTTTAACAATTTTCCACTAAATTAGTTTAATTTTACTGTATTTCATCCGTTCAGATGATGGTACAGTGAGCTGCACAAGAATTTAGAAATATTTTGCTTCTGAAGCTGAAATTTCAATACATTTTTATTTGATTTGGTCTGAATTCCTTCCTATTGTAACTCCACAAGCCATTCTTTCACCCAAACGAGCTGATCAGGTGTGTCTCAGATCAGTTCATTTCGAGGCTCTCTCTTTAAATCCAAATTAGGCACTTCACGCCCCGCCCCCCTCCAGCTTCCAGACCGGCCCACTCCAGTTTGATAGAGGTGTTTATGTCTAATGCGCACAGAAATCTTTTCTTTACAAATGAATTAAGAAATGTAAACGGAGGTCTTGTCCATCCAGCCTTACATGTCGGAGCCAGAGTCTGACCCAGAGCCAGAGGAGAATGAAGACTAGGACCTAGGGGACACAAACACATGAGCTGTTGAGTTCTCAACAAGCTCAATCAACTTAACGGATAATGTACTGGTAAGATTGGTTCTCAGGTAAATATATTGTATAATTTCATACGTTTAAGGCATTTAAAATTTATAACGTCATAACTGTTATTAATTGACTTTTTATTATAACAAACTGGACGGAGAAACTGGAGAGTCTGGAGTTTTTCATTGACGAGTATTTTGAAAAAATTGTAATGGGCAAACCCAAACATATCTCCGGCGGCGCAGCTAGCATGTCACTTAGCAAGCCAACATCAAAGAGGAATCGCTCGGCAAGCTCCGACGATATTTCAAATATTTCTCCAGAAACGACAGGCTGTAAGGACATACTGGAGTCTATCAGTCAAAAGCTAAGCAGTTTAGATAGCCGGTTAGCTTTAGTGGAGGTGCTGCATAAGGAATTCCAGGCTCTGAAGGTGTCACTGGAGTTTAGCCAGGAGCAAGTAGATATGCTAGTTAGCGARAACACCGAGTTGAAAGGAAAATTGTCTCAACTCACTGAGGGGATGTCACAGTTGTCTGGAAATAAAAAGATGAACGAAACCATCTTAGACATCCAGGCCAGAAGCATGAGGGACAACCTCGTATTCTCCGGCATCCCCGAGAAAGCTAATGAGGACCCAGAGGCTACAGTCAGGAGCTTCATTCAGAACCAACTGAAACTCTCCAGTGAGACGGTAAACAACATCACCTTCGACCGTGTACATCGGATGGGAGGTAAGAGACACGACAGTAAACGTTCACGGGCTATTGTTGCAAAATTTGAGCATTTTAAACAGAAGGAACAGGTTATTAGCTGTGGGAGGGAGCTACGTGGTACTGGCTTTAGTGTTAACCATCAGTTCCCTAAAGTATACCTCGATCGCCGTCGTGTTTTGTTTCCCATCAGAAAAAAGCATCTAGCTGAAGGCTGCAGAGCAACAATAGCAATAGATAAACTATATTAATGGCCAGTTGTTCAGAGACCCTGAGATCACTCCATGGCTGTATTAGATTTAACATCAAGGTTAGTGATTATTATTATTACTACATTTATTTAATCACCAGTAATAATGTTAACTAATCACAGTTGGTCGGTGGGTACACACTTGGTGAGCACGGTGGCTACTTTTTGTGTTKGTGGTGGTGGGGGGAGTTCTTTTTTCTGTTCATTTTCTGTTTTATTCTGTTCTTTTTTTCCATCTACAGTATTTACTATCACATTTTTTCTCTTATTTCTTTATTTCTAACACAACAAATACTTGTACACAGGCGCACAAACCCACACATGCTCATATTCCATACATCCAAATACTTAATAATAAAACATATGCTTCATTTAACTTCGAACACATCTCACACACACACACACACACACAC